TGGGTGTTGGACTGTTAAGTTGATCGTTTTCATGATTTTGACTCTACTATGTTCGGGATCCAGAAAACAATATTCACGAGCCAATGCGTTGTTACTTCCTCTCTGCATTTGGCTAGCAATCTCTACCCTTTCCTGACTGGATCTGAATACAGCAGTCATTGGTGCAACTCTGCCATCTTGCACTTTCCAAAGGAGATATTTATCTATTCCATCTGTGGCTAGTGCTTCGAATGAATGACCAACTGGATTATCTTTTTGAATCACCTTATGTTTAATATTCTGGATTTTTTTTAAGTCCTCTCGCTTCTTCATATACCTCTGAAAGGTCTTTTCCTTCTTTTATCATCCCTCGTAGCCTTTCATATGGAAACTGTGAAGGCTTGGCATCTGTATTGTTATGGAAAAACTTTAAAGCCTCATCAGTTATGTCATTGAGCACACGCTTAGAATCGCACGTGTGCCTTCCGCAGTGATAGACAATCACAGTTCTTTCGTTGAATTCCGACACCTTTGTTGCAGGACAGGAGACGGATCTAGAATCATACCCACAACAAGAACAAGCAGCTTTACTTTCTGATATCTTTTTGAATTGTGCTTTGTTTGGCTTTCCATATGAGTTCAGATATGGACACCTTGCATTGGTACAGTGATAAGTCCCACCACACGATGCGATACGTCTAATGCCTTTAAAGCTTGTCCTTTTAGAGGAATGCCAATCTTGCCAGGGCCGGCCATCTCTAGCACTAGTCATCATCTTGGATTGCTGATAGGATATCTCATAAACACAGTCTCCGTCAATATCATATGGCAGCTTATCAGTTGTTACTTTTTCACAGTTAGACCATAACGCAGGAAGTAGTCTTCTTTGATCACTATACAAATATAGGCAATGTAATACATGAACAAACAAAACATTTTGATTTCACCAATCTTTGACTAGTAAGAATATTTTTTTTTTACCATATAAAAAGAAAGGACAGATTTTTAATACTATGAGACTGCATTCTTTTATGTCTAATAATGGGGTTTAAAAAATCAATTAGTTTGTGGCAAAAAACTAATGTTGTCAAGGCATGTCTGAACATTGTAAAATCCTATATACATTTGAGGCAGCCTTGATTGCAAACTTTACGACATTATAGTGCTTGAACACTTTAGAATATGCAGTGATTTCCTTTAAAGGTTGTATTATTTTTTCTCACCTGAGAAATGAGGATTTAATATTTTCTTTTTCCATGTTTATCA